AGGGGGCACCGTGCCCACAGCCCCACTCGCCCGCTCCCCCGGAGCAGCCACGGGGTCAGAGGACGAGCCGGGGGCTGGGCTCAGGGGCCCCCCTACCTGGGGGGGTGCTCCCATGCTTTTTCTTGGCGCTGGCGGCCAGGGCCCCGCCCTTGGAGGACTGGACGTCAGGGACGGGCGTGGCCGGCCTCTGGCCCTGACACATCATGCCTACAGGGAAGACAACAGCGCTGGGCAGAGCTCGGAGGCCGCACCTGCTGGCCTCCGGACCCCGCGGGCCCCCAGCCTCCCCGCCCCCGCCCCACGCCGCGGGACCGAGGCCCACCCTCCACGTCATCCTTGAACAGCTCCTCGGTGCCGAACTTGAGGATGTCGTCCAGCTCCTGCTTGGTCATGGAGCCCGACTTGGAGCCCAGGCCGGGCCGCACCACCAGGTGCGTCAGCATCATCTTGCGCTTGGCCACCTGCGTGATGCGCTCCTCCACCGAGGCCCGCGTCACGAAGCGGTAGATCATCACCTTCTTGTTCTGCCCGATGCGGTGGGCACGGCTGAAGGCCTGCGCGGGGCGGGGCGGGGCGGGGCCGGGGGTCAGCAGCTGGGCTCCCCCATGGCGGGGGGTCATGCCTGTGACGTCCTGGGCACGCACGTGCCGCCTGAGCACACGTGGGGAGCGCGGCACGTGGGCCCGGCCGCCAGGCTGACGCCTTGGCCTCCGTGTCCCCTCGGGGTGCTTCCTCCTTGCTACATGAGAGAGCTGCAGATGGCTGGGCCGCCTCTCACCGCCCAGGGTCCTTCCTGGGGCTGAGACCACCCAGGCGCCAGCCAGCAGGGTGGAGGGGGTGGGAGTCCCAGGGAAAGGGCAGCCGAGGGCCACAGACCTGGATGTCATTGTGCGGGTTCCAGTCCGAGTCGTAGATGATGACAGTGTCCGCCGTGGCCAGGTTGATGCCCAGGCCGCCCGCCCGGGTCGAGAGGAGGAAGCAGAACTGCTGGGCCCCAGGGGCTGAGGGTGAGAGGGTAGGTGAGTGGGGGGCAGGGCACGAGGGGCCCCAGGCAGAGGCAGGGTCGGGTGGTACCCAGCACAGACAGGCGGCCACCCCCGAGCTCAGGGGCCACAGCTGCCCCCTGCCAGCCCCCACGAGGGGAAGCAGAGGAGGAGGGAGCCAATCAATGCCCAGACGGGCAAAGACCAAGCTGCACACACAGGGTGCCCCGGGGAGGGCGGCCACCGTGAGGCCCTGGAGAGCCTGGCCCCTGGTGTCCCCACCCACAGCCTCTCCCAGCCACGGACACACTCGGGACTCTCAGGGGCAGCTCCAGGGCCCAGGGCCCTGTCCTTCCCCGTCCCCAAGCCTGTCCCAGGACAGCTGCCTCTGTCCTGCCTCGCTGAGGGACCTGGGCCCGACCACAGCACCCACTGGAGCTGCAAGCGGGTCCCAGGTGGGCCCAACACTTCAGGCACCTCTGCCTGCAGGTGCACCTCCTCGCTCCTCGCCTTGCAGGCCTCAGTGGGCACGAGAAATCGCGGCTGTGACTATGGCTCCGACAGCCGTGAACCCCGGGGGATGGAGCCCGACCCACCATCGAGGCTGCAGGCGCTGTCCAGCGCTGCCTGCCTGGGTCAGCAGGGGAGGCCCTCGGGTGCCAGCCAGGCCTCAGCACCAGCTTCCCTTGGTGACAAAGGTGACACCTTCCTCCCCCTCCCCCGTCTGCCTTCCTTGTCACCCATTTCTGACCCCATTCAGAACAGGTAATGCCTTCTAAGCCCCTCAGCAAGTGTCCCTGGAGTGAACCCTTCTAGCTTTAAAATCAACGGGCCTAAGGACGGGTCTCTGTCTCTCTCTCTCTCTGTGTGTGTGCAGTGCAGCCTAAGAGGGCGGGGCCGCAGCCAGAGCGCTCGGCAGGGCGGGGGCGGGGGCGGGGGTACCGTTGAATCTGTCGATCGCCTCCTGCCGCAGCCCCCCGGTGATGCCGCCGTCGATGCGCTCGTACTTGTAGCCTTCGTACTCCAGGAAGTCCTCCAGCAGGTCCAGCATCTTGGTCATCTGCCGGGCACAGGGACACGTGAGGGCTGCCACGGAGGGAGTGGCCCACGGGACCCCACGGAGTTGGGAAGGAGCATGTTGTCTGCTCAGTGCAGACTCAGCTGGGCCCCGGGCAGGCCTGACGCGGGACCCTGGAGATGGAGGCCCCCGCTCGCAGCCAGGCCTGTCCCACACTGCCCCGGCATCTGCCACAGTCAGCCTGGGCGTGGCTCCTCCCCTCCGGCTCGTGCCACACGGAGGGGGGGCCTCACTTGCACTCGGGTTCCCTCCACAAGACCTACACTCCTTCAGTCCCTCGGCCACGCCGTGCACCTCTCTTCCCGGGATACCCACGCCCTGAGCGCCCAGGAGCTGAACCAGCGCCTCCTGCGTGGTGCCCTCCCTCCCCGTGAGACGTGAAAGGCCCCCAGGGCCCTGCGGACCCCCCTCGCTCTCCTCCTGAGCCCCCAGAGCCCTGCGGACCCCCCTCGCTCTCCTCCTGAGCCCCCAGAGCCCTGCGTATCTCCCCCCCTCGCTCTCCTCCTGAGCCCCCAGGGCCCTGCGTATCTCCCCCCCCCCCGCTCTCCTCCTGAGCCCCCAGGGCCCTGCGGACCCCCCTCGCTCTCCTCCTGAGCCCCCAGAGCCCTGCGGACCCCCCCCCCGCTCTCCTCCTGAGCCCCCAGGGCCCTGCGGATCCCCCCTCACTCTCCTCCTGAGCCCCCAGGGCCCTGCGGATCCCCCCTCACTCTCCTCCTGAGCCCCCAGGGCCCTGCGAACCCCCCCCCGCTCTCCTCCTGAGCCCCCAGAGCCCTGCGGACCCCCCTCGCTCTCCTCCTGAGGCCCCAGAGCCCTGCGGACCCCCCTCGCTCTCCTCCTGAGGCCCCAGAGCCCTGCGTATCTCCCCCCCCTCGCTCTCCTCCTGAGCCCCCAGGGCCCTGCGGACCTCCTTGCTCTCCTCCTGAGCTCCCAGAGCCCTGCAGACCCCCCCCTCGCTCTCCTCCTGAGCCCTGCGGACCCCCCCTCGCTCTCCTCCTGAGCCCCCAGGGCCCTGCGGACCCCCCTCGCGCTCCTCCTGAGCCCTGCGGACCCCCCTCGCTCTCCTCCTGAGCCCTGCGGACCCCCCTCGCTCTCCTCCTGAGCCCCCAGGGCCCTGCGGACCCCCCTCGCTCTCCTCCTGAGCCCCCAGGGCCCTGCGGACCCCCCTCGCTCTCCTCCTGAGCCCCCAGGGCCCTGCGTATCTCCCCCCCCTCTCTCTCCTCCTGAGCCCCCAGAGCCCTGCGGACCCCCTCGCTCTCCTCCTGAGCCCCCAGGGCCCTGCGGACCCCCCTCACTCTTGCTGGCTTAGCTGGAAACAAAACTCGCCCTGGCCGTCCGGTGTGCAGGTTGTGCCGCTGCCTCCGCCACCTGTCGCTGCCGCTCAGACCCGGCTCTGCAGGAACCAGACGGGAGGTCCTGCGGCTCCCCAGCCGGGCGGGTGGCGCTCATCTGGCTTGGTGTTCACCCCAGATCCAAGACCTCGCGCCTTTCCCCGGGTCTACAGACACGGACCCTCTCTTCCATCGTCTCTGCCCTCACTGCCGCAGGGGCCACCGGGCGACTGACGGAGCCTCCCGAGAGCCCCCGGGGCCTTCCTGCCCGCACCCCGGCCCTCCGTGCTGCAGCCAGGGGCCTTCCTCACGCCGGCCCCGGCGCGTCCAGGCCCTGCTGACGGCTCGCGCAGCCTGATCTGCTCCTGCTCCCTGACCTCCCGGCTCCTGCCTAAGAACCCGCGCTCTATGGGCACTGGGCGCTCTGACTGCCGAGGAGCCTAAACGTGGACGTAAATCCTCCTTGGGCCGTCTTTTCCTTGGGATTCTAACTGTGGTCTCTAAGACGCCTCGGCGTCCAGTTCCTCGCCGGGGGCGGGGCAGGGCTGTCTCGCCCTGCTCCCTCTGCCTGGCCTCGCCGGGCCCCACGCGGACTCGTGTGTTCTGCTGGCAGTGCTGCCAGGGGACCGCGGGACTGCTCGGTTCCGCTCCTGGTCCCAAGCGTGGTCTGCCCCGGGCGGGCCTCAGCCCAGGGGGCGGTCAGTGGGCACAGGCGGCAACAGGTGATTCCTGGTGACCTCTGCGTGAAGTTGCCATGTCCCCGACTCTGGCTTTGAGCACTGGAACTGCTGGGTCCAACCTCCCCGCGGGGGGGCACTTTCAGCCCCAGCACCCTGGGGCCCATCGCCGAGGCCTCCAGCGGACACTCCCGTGTGTCCCACCCCAGAGGGCAGCTCGAGGAGGGGCACCCCCAATCAGCTGGGCCCGCGAGCCCAGCACGGAGCCTGGTGTGCGGCAGACGCGAGCCACCCCAGGATCAGCCTGCAGGGGGAGCTCCTGGCGCCGGGGGTGAGGGCAGGGCAGGGCAGGGCAGGGCGGGGAGGGGAAGGGAGGGGAGGGGTGGGCCCTGGCAGCCAGGGAGCCCAGGCGCTGGGGCGGGCGCCCACCTCTCCCGGGGGGCGCGCGCCCACCGACTCCCCAGGGCGGGCGCCCACCTCTCCCCGGGCGCGCGCGGCCAGGCTGAGCGCCACCCACCTCTCCCAGGCTGAGCGCCGCCCACCTCTCCCCGGGGGCCACCCACCTCTCCCCGGGCGCCGCCCACCGCTCCCCGGGCACCGCCCACCTCTCCCCGGGGCGTGGCCAGGCTGAGCACCTCCCACCTCTCCCCGGGGCGCCGCCCACCTCTCCCCGGGCGCCACCCACCGCTCCCCGGGGCGCCGCCCACCTCTCCCCGGGCGCCGCCCACCGCTCCCCGGGCGCCGCCCACCTCTCCCCGGGGCGCCGCCCACCTCTCCCCGGGCGCCGCCCACCTCTCCCCGGGCACCGCCCACCTCTCCCCGGGGCGTGGCCAGGCTGAGCACCGCCCACCTCTCCCCCGGGGCACCGCCCACCTCTCCCCCGGGCGCCGCCCACCTCTCCCCGGGCGCCGCCCACCGCTCCCCGGGCGCCGCCCACCTCTCCCCGGGGCGCCGCCCACCTCTCCCCGGGCGCCGCCCACCTGGGAGAAGATGAGCACGCGGTGGCCCTCGTCCCGCAGCTTCTTGAGCATCTTCTGCAGCAGCATGAGCTTCCCGGACGACTTGACCAGGGAGCTGCCGTCGTAGGAGCCGTTGGGCAGGACGGGGGCCTCCTGCAGGCGCGGCAGAAGCGGGGTGTGGGCGGCTCCCCCACCACCCTGACGGCACCAGCAAGCCGCAGGGGCGCCTTGCGGGAGGAGCGCACTGCCTGTCCGCCCCGCGGAGCGCGAGGCACAAACGCCAGCGGCCGTGGCTCCCAGACCCGCCGGCCCCGCCCTGGGCCTTGCCAGTCAGAGACCCGAGACGGCCGGCAGGGGGCGCCAGCGCCGGAGCTGAGCCAGCCTTCCCTGCAGGGCGCTCGGAAGCCTCACAAAGCCAGGTGGGCCCAGCCCCGGGGGACCTACCACGGCGGCCACGGGGAAGAGGTAGGGGTGGTTGCAGCACTTCTTCAAGTCCATCATGATGTTGAGCAGTGAGACCTGGTTCCCGCCCCCTTTGGAGTTGAGCGCCTCGAAGTTGCGCGTGAGGATGAACTTGTAGTACTTCCTGCAGGGGGGCAGGGCGGGGCAGGGCGGGCTGCACGCAGGCCAGCGCCGGGCCAGCCCCAACCCCGGGTGCTGCCTGCTCCTCTGGGAGGCTGGGCTGCCGGCCGGGCACCCAGCACACACACACACACACACACACACACACCAGGGGAGGCCCGGGGGCCCGGGGACGAGGCTGGAACTCAGCCCAGGTCAGTGGACTCAGAGGGGGGCCCACGTGGCAGGGGTGAGCCAGGGCGCGCAGGGGCCGAGCGCCCGCCCACCCCCAGGGAGTGGACGGCCGGGTGCTGGGGAGGCCGAGCGGCCGCTCACTTCTGCATCTGGCTCAGCTCCACGCGGACGATGAGCTCGGTCTTGGCCGGCATGTTCTTGAAGACGTCAGCCTTGAGCCGCCGTAGCATGTGCGGCCCCAGCAGGTCGTGCAGCTTCTTAATCTGGTCCTCCTTGGAGATGTCAGCAAACTCCTCCAGGAAGCCCTCCAGGTTGCTGCAGCAACGAGCCGGGGTAAGCGCCAGGAGCAGGCCAAGGCCCCGTGCACAGGGAACCGGGACTGGGGGCAGGAAGAGGGGAGCCCGCGCCAGCACAGGTCAGCTGCCTCGGGGCGGGGGGGCAGGCAGCCCTGGCATGGGCCACGCCGCCTCCCGCAAGAGACCGTTCGTTCGAGGGGAGCAAGGCTGCCTGGGCCACTCCACGGGCGGCAGGCTCGGGCCCCGTCTCCCAGGGCCCCGCGGGGACTCACTTGAACCGCTCGGGCGTCAGGAAGTTGAGCAGGTGGAAGAGCTCCTCCAGGTTGTTCTGCAGGGGGGTCCCCGTCAGCAGCAGTTTGTAATCGATCTTGTAGCTGTTCAAGACCCTGAAGAACTTAGGGGACAGCGAGCGGGGGCCCGTCAGCGGGCGTCGGGAGGCCGCTGGCCCGGGGCCGCCCCGAGCTCGGGCAGGCCGGGGTCCGAGCCCTGTGGCCAGCAGGGCCTACCTTGGACTGGTTGTTCTTGAGCCGGTGGGCCTCGTCCACCACGAGGCAGGCCCACTCGATGGAGCCCAGGATGGCCTGGTCGATGGTGATGAGCTCGTACGAGGTGAGCAACACATGGAACTTGATCTGCACTTCTTTCTGCGGACAGAGGGGGCGCTGGGGAGGCGGCAGCTGGGCCAGCGGGATCGCGGCTCGGAAGACAGGGTCAGGAAGGCCGTGTGGACGGGAATCCCCCAAACACTCTGGCACGTGGTGTGGACAGGGACGAGCCGGGCCAGCCCAGGACGGGACGGGACAGGAAGGCAGCGGCCGGCAGCTGAGGCCCAGGGCGCGGTACCAGAGAGAGAGGGTGAGGTGGGAGCTACAGACGGCAGCGGCGACGCCAGCAACGGTGCCAGCTGCGGCCCCAGCCCTGTGCTCGGTCCTTCATCCATGACCAACCGTGTGCACCAAGCGCCATCTTCCCCTCCATCACCGGGGGGGCCTCAGGCTGACACACCCCACCCCTCCAACCCCGGCCCCCAGGCAGAGCCAGGTCAGAACAGAGAAGCGAGAGTCGAGCGCCCAGCAGCTGCCGGTCATCCATTCTCCACCGCTCCAGGCCTGAGTCTGCGCTCCGTCAGAAAAGGCCCCTGGGTGGAGCACGTGCCAGGTGCTCCGTCCCACGACAGGTGCTCTGCCCGGCGGGGGCATCAGGCACACACCCCGTGCACACCCAGGGGCAAGGTGGGGCCCCGCACTCCTGGAGGGCCTGTACTGGCCCAGGGAGTACTGCCACACTGGACAGCAAATAAAATGCAGCAGGCCGGTGGCCCACAGCTGCCCGAGTCCGCCCTGGCAAAGCCACGGCTGTGGGTTGTCCCCTGTGCGCTGGAGCGTCACCCCGCGGTGAGCCTGAAGCAGGTGGACACGTGATCCCACTACGGTGTGTAGGGCCGGGACCTCTGGGAGTGACGGGGATCGGGCAAGTCATCAGGGCGGGGGCCCTTGACGGAATCCTGGCGGCAGAGACCAGAGGAGACAGGCGCTCATGCTCCCTGCCTGGGGACTCTGCCAGCACCAAGGCCATTGCCAAGTGCGGCCCCTGGACCTCAGACTGCCACCACCATGAGCCCAAACAAACCTCTTCTTTAGAACTTACCCAGGCTCCGGCACGACGTTATTAGCAGCCCAAACGGACTACCATTCCAAGCTGCCTCTCCCAGTGACATGGCCCCAGGTGAGGGGGGCAGAAAGGGATGGAGAGAGGGAGACGCAGGCTTCTTCAGCCCTGGCCCGTGGAGCCTGGACCTCGGTCAGCTCCACACCCCAAGCCTCGGCCCCCTCGCCCTCTGTGCCAGGAAGGCCCTGTGGTGAAGAGAGCTAAGGCTGCCCCTCGAAACATCTAGAATTCCCAGATGCGCCAGCAACTCTGCTTCCAGGTGGACTCCCAGAACAGGGACAGGAGGAGAGGCCGGGCCACCCGCGCTCACACCAGCGTTACTCAAAACAGGCGGAACAGACAGGTGTCCACAGGTGTCCACAGACAGATGAACACGGCCCACCCAGGCAGTGGAGGGGCCGGCACTGGGCACAGCGGGTTAGGCCACCCGAGACGCCGGCTGGAGTCCCTGCTGCTCCACTTCCACTCCAGCCCCCTGCGCACGCGCCTGGGAAGGCAGCAGAAGGCGGCCCAAGCGCTTCAGCCTCTCCCACCCTGGTAGGAGACCTGGCGGAGTTGCAGGCTCCCGTCTCCACCTGGCCCAGCCCTGGCCGTTGCAGTCAGCTGGAAGATCTCTCTCTCTCGTCTGTCTCTCCCTCTCCCTGACTCTACCTTCCAAAAATAAATACATAAATCTTTGGGGGGGGGAGGTCTGATCCTGACACCCGCTGTGGATGAACCCGGAGGCCAGGCAGCCAAGGACAAACTCTGCAGGACTCCGCCCACGAGCACCCTAGAGCAGGCAGCCCCCAGACAGGAACAGCACGCGGCTGCCGGGCGTGCGGGCAGCGGGATGGAGGGCCGCTTCTGTCTGGGAAGATGGAGAGCTCTGGAGACGAGGGCGGTGACGTTACTCAGCACCCCTGACCTTGCCCTCAGGATGGCTAAGGGGATTGGAAATTACTTTTATTCACAAGGCAGAATGGGACAGACAGACAGCACTCCTCGACCTGCTGGCCCACTCCCCAGTGCCCACAGCAGCCGGGGCTGGGCCAGGTTGAAGCCAGGAACCCAGAAGCTAATAGGGGTCCCCCTCCTAAGCGGCAGGGACGCAAGTGCTTGGGCCATCACCTGCCACTCTCAGGGGTCAGCAGGAAGCTGGACTGGAACTCGGCTCCCTGCCGTGGGATGCGGCGTTTTAACCACACACCGAACACGGCCCCCCGGTGGCAAGTTTTAGGTGATTCATCACTCACAACAGCTTTTTAAAGAAGTAAGACAGCCAAGTCTTGGCGTGTCTGAGCTGTCGCAGGACCCCAGTGGGAGACAAAGCGAGGTTCGTCCACGACCCCCCAGTGCAGAGGCCCCGGAACGCCTTCGTCAGTCCCTGGACGTCCCCTGGGAGCCCCGGCTGCTCCGGAGGAAGCTGACCCCAGAAGTCTCAGGGGGGGCCGGCACTGGGCCAGGGGCTGAAGCCACCGCTGTGACGCTGCATCCCATACTGGAGGCACCTGTTCAAATCCCAGCGACGCCTTTCTGATCCAGCCCCCAGGTAACGTGCCAGGGAAGACAGCAGAAGACAATGAGCCCCGGCACACACGGGAGACTCGGACGGAGCTCCCGGCATCGGTGTGCCCCAGCCTCGGCCATCACAGCCACTGGGAGAGTGAGCCAGCAGATGGAAGATGCCTCTCTCTCTCTCTCTCTCTCTCTCTCTCTCTGCCATTCAAACAAATCTTTGAAAGAGAAAATCCATCCCCCCAGAGACAGCCGCAGCCCCAGCACTTCGCTCCCGTGGGCAGGACCAGTTCCCAGGGGTCTGCTGCCTGTCAAGGTGCAGCCTGGAGGCCAGCAGCATTCGCCCCACCAGCTGGGACTCGGTGAGAAAGACAGAACCTGGGGCAGGCGCCTGGCCTGGCGGCTGAGAGGCTGAGACACCACCCTGGACGCCCACGGCCGGGCTCCAGTCTCAGCTCTGCTTCCCACGCAGCTAGCGTGCGCCCTGGGAGGAAGCGGGCGATGGCTCGAGTCCATGGGCTCCTGCGAACGACACGGAGACCTGGATGGAGTTCTCAGCTCCCGGCTTTGGCCCGGCCCTGGTTGTTCCAGCATTTAGGAAGCAAACCAGCAGTGGGAGATTCTCTCTCTCTCTCTCTCTCTCCCTGGATGTGTGTGTCTCAAATAAACAACAAGCTTAAAAAAAATAAATGCAGAACCTCGGCCCCCACTCCCAGCTGCTGGATGGGAACCTGCCCTTCAGTACCCGTGATGGGGGAGGGGCCGTGGTCACGGGGCAGCAGGTTGGATGCCTGCATGTCATGTCGGGAGCGCCGCTTCCAGTCCCGGCTGCTCCATTTCCGATCCAGCTCCCTGCTAATGGCCTGGGGAAGCAGCAGAGGACGGTCCAAGTGCTTGGGCCCGTGGGCCCACATGGAATTCCTGGCTCCTGGCTTTGGGCCTGGCCCGGCCATAGCTGTTGTGGTCATTTGGGGGAGTGAACCATAGATGGAAGATCCTTTCTGTCAATCTCTCTCCTTCCGTCCTCCAAATTAATCAATCTTTTTTTTTTTTTTTAATAAGACCTCCGCCCCAAGGATCCGAGGCACAGTGCTGGGGGGCGGGAGGGGAGGCCCTGCCAGGCACTCACCCACACCTGTGACGCCCCTGCCACAGCTCAGCGACCGGGCTGCCAGCTCACTTGCTGGGAAGACGGTGAGGCCCAGGACCGGCCGGGGGCCACACGGCAGGTGCACTGGGTTGAAGAGCGGCCCCTCCCAGAACTCACGTGCGCCTGGGAGCTCTTCATGGAAATGGGCTCTTGGCAGATACAATCGGTGGTACGGGGCCACGGATTGGAGTGAAACCCCAGCATGAGACGAGGGAGCACCAGGTGATGACGGCAGGGGATGGGGGACTCGGGGTGGGGGCGGGGGACGCCTCTCCTGGGCCCCCTGGGGCCACCCGCTCACCTTCATGCGAAACACCTTCTTCCCGCTCCGAATGGCGTTGTCCTCGAAGGAGAACTCGTTCTCGCGGATCACGGAGCGGCTCTCCTTGTCGCCCGTGTAGGTGACCACGTAGAAGTCGGGCGCCCACATCTCGAATTCGCGCTCCCAGTTGATGATGGTAGACAAGGGCGCGCTGACCAGGTAGGGCCCCTTGGAGTGGCCCTGCGGAGAGAGCCTGGTGTGGTGAGGCCGCCCGCCCCCGGCCGCGCCCGGCCCCCGCCGCTGCGCCTGCCCACCTCCTTGTACAGGGAGTAGAGGAACACGATCGTCTGCACCGTCTTGCCCAGCCCCATCTCGTCGGCCAGGATGGTGTCGGTGCCCTGGGCCCACGAGAACCGCAGCCAGTTCAGGCCCTCCAGCTGGTACGGGTGCAGCGTGCCGCCCGTGGAGTCGATGTACCACGGCTGCTTATCAAACTTGACCGTGGGCTGTGAGGGAGGAGAGGTTCAGACCCACCCTGAACCCTGGGCCGCCCGCCGGCTCCGTGCACACGAGGGTCCCGCCACCCGGAATCCTCTTCCCACCCCCTCTGCCTTCCTAACTCTTCTTTAGGACGTGGCTAGAATGCCTCTTCCTCCAGGAAGCCCTCCCCGACTGCCGGCCTGGCTGGGTTGCCCCACAGCAGCCTTGTGCTTCCGTCAGGGGAATCCCCCCGCCGCTGAGTCCTCCCAGGCTTTCCCGGCCACACGGGTCCTGTCCACTGCTTTCTCCGAGCCCCACCCGGTGCCTGGGTCGGGGTGGGCCCTTACGCAGTGTTTGCTGGACAAAGGACGGTGTGACCCCCCCATCCAGGGCACCCCCCACGTCTGCCAGAAGCGGCTGCCTCCACCTCGTCCACAGCTTTACCCTTTGCCCCCTCTCCTGCAGCCCAAGGTCACCTCCTCCGTGAGGTGCCGAGGACCCCGGCCAGGGCCCCAGGAGACGCTGGGCTTCCTGAGACGGGGGCTCAGGGCAGAGCCAGCCCTGCCTTGCTCAGTGCACAGTCGGGGCCTCCTCCCAGGTGACAGCAGTGCGGCTGTGAGGGGCCCCTTCCCGCTCTCCACGTGCACAAGCCGTGCTATGTCCTCCACAGCCAAGCCCGGGACAGGCAGAACCCCCCCCAACCCCCATCAGGGACACGATGGGCGTGTCCCTGTCACTCACGTCCACCATGGGCGTGTCCCCCCACCTGTCACTCCCATCCATGATGGGCATGTCCCTGTCACTCCCGTCCACGATGGGCGTGTCCCTGTCACTCCCGTCCACGATGGGCGTGTCCCCACGTCCGTCACTCATGTCCATGATGGGCGTGTCCCTGTCACTCCCATCCACAATGGGCGTGTCCCCCCGCCTGTCACTCCCGTGTACCATGGGCGTGCCCCCCGCCCGTCACTCACGTCCACCATGGGCGTGTCTGGCGGCTTCTCCTGCTTCTCCTCCTTCAGCTTCTTGCCTTTCTTCACCAGCCTCTTGGGCACCCTCGAGTCCTCCCCGAGCATCAGCTCCCTGGGAAGAGCCGCGGGCGCAGGTGAGCGGGGCTCAGGCCGCGCGGGCGGCCCCGGCGGAGCCCCGCAGCCCACCTGTGGCCCCAGTAGGCCTGCTTCAGGTTGTCGTAGTAGGGGATGTCGATGTCGTCGATCTCCCAGGTGCACTGGTCGTAGGGCAGGTCTTTCCACTTGATCAGGTAGTGCACGTCCCCCTTTTTGTCGAAGCTGCAAGACCGAGTGAGGAGCTGGGTCGCTCGGGGCCAGCTCCCTCCCTTCCTCAGCCCGGCCTCCTGCAGCCCCTGGTCCCGCCACCAGAGGGCGCTGCCCAGCTCCACCACCTCACGGTGACGAGGACCCCGCCACGTGGGGGTCAGTGCTCAGCAAGACGCGCGCCTAGGTCCTCGGGCCCTCCTTCCAGGGCCACGAGCACCGGGAGCCCCCATTAGGACCCCGGGCCCGCCCGCCCGGTGAGCATGTTCGGCCAGTCTCCCTCCCCTGGCCGCGGCCCGCACCTGTGGTTCAGGATCCGGTGCACCATCATCCACTCGGGCTTGACGCCGTAGCGGTAGAAGCGCTCCTCCATCTTGGCGTACACGGGGTCCTTGTTCTTCCTCTTCTCGCTCTTGCCGTCCTCGTCCCCGGAGCCGTAGTCGAAGGGCGGCGGCTCGTCCATGTCATTCTTCCTTTGGTAGTTGCGATACATCACCGTGTGGTAGAGCTCCAGCTGCAAAGAGCAGAGGTCACGGGGCGGGAGGGGCCGCGGCCGCCAGGGCCCCCCACCCCCACCCCGAGGCCCCTGAGCCTTAGCCCGGCTCACCTGGAGCTCCTTCACCCAGGAGCAGTGCCAGTAGGAGAGCCCCGCCCACTTGACGAAGAACTCCCTCTCGGGGATGCCCTCCAGGGGCTTGGGCCGGGGGGCGCCTGGCTCCACGTCGGGTCCCGGCAGGCCCACCACGAAGGGGGCGGGGGGCTCTGTCCACCGCCAGTGCAGGATCCGCTGGACTTTGCCCTTCAGCGGGGGACACTGCGGACAGAGGGGCGTCCCCAAGCGGTCAGGCCTCAGGCGCAGGACCCCGCCCTACGGCCGTCACACAGGCTCCCTCCGACAGGCTGCGCTGTCCCCAGGTCCTCGGGAGCCCACATGTGTGCGCACACAGGAGACGGGCAACGTGGGCCCCACACTCCCGACAGTGAACCGGGTAGCACCTGGCGGTCCTGGACCACGGTGGGACAAGGAGCCCGTGGGTGTGACACAGGGCAGCACAGCAGGCAACAGAGAATCCCAGACGTGGACGCGCCCTGCCCGTGGGTCTTCTCCCCCCGGGAATGTCACCGCTCACGCTGACCCAAGGACACAAGGGACCACCTCTGGGCAGGGACTCACCGCGGCCCCATCCCCCCCTCCCCAGGCTCCCTGATGGGTACTAGGGCCCCAGGGAGTTGCTGCCTGGCGAAGATGAGGAATCCTCCGGCCACAGCACCCTCCCTGGAGCCCTCTAGGCTGGGACGACCACTTAGGGAGACAGCTCTGGGAGGCGGGTCAGCCCGCCGCTGCCTGCCCCGGGTCCGAGGATAAAGGCCTCCTCCTCCAAGGAAAGCCCGCCCCTCACTCCACCTCCCAGGCCGCGGTGGGCTTCAGATCGCAGGCGGACCTCCTCCCCAGGACCTCTGTGGGTTCCAGGACGCACAGAAGGCTGCACCCTCAAAAGGGGCCCCCCAAAGAGCCCCACACAGGCACAGACACGCATGCGCACACAGGCACACACACGACACACAACACGAGCCCAGAGGCACAGGGTGACGGAGAGCCAGCCTGGCCCAGTCCAGAACCCGGATGGAGGGGGTGGGGTGGGGCCTGGGGGGCACAAACTGAGGCCAGGACCCCCACCCTCTCAGCACCCCCAGCCTCGGGGCAGGAAGGGCCAGGGCTGCTCCAGGCCCAGGGCTGAACGGACAGCTGGGCAAGTCACTGCCCTCCCTGAGCCTCCAATCTCTCGATGAAGCCGCCTGGTACTCGAGGGAGCCCCAGGGGGCGAAGGCAGCGCCGGGCCCAGAAAGGACGCGGCTCTCTGGCCTCGCTGGGCAAGCTCTGGCCCTGATGTCAGCGTCACCGCCACCGGCCTCTTATAGGGCAGAAAGGGTCTTCGGGCCCAGGTAAGGCGGCGGGCGGGGAGAGACCTGCGGGCCGGGGGGTGAGGGCGGGGCCTCGGCCCGCGGCGGGGGGGCGGGGTCTTGGTGGGCGGGGCGTTCGGCGCGGGGCGGGGCGGGCAGAACACTCACAGTACAGCGCGGGCAGAGCCATTCACCGTTTGGGATCTCGGGCAGCGGCGGGTTGAGGCAGTGCAGGTGGTAGGAGGAGGGGCAGGCGTCGCAGCAGAGCAGCTCGCCGCCGTCCTTGCACACGCGGCAGAACTCCATGTGGTCGTCCTCCTCCTCCTCGCAGCCGCCCTCCTCCTCCTCGTCCTCGTCGTCCTTGGGCTCCCACTGGATCCCCTCCTTCTCCTGCAGCGGGGGCAGAACCCAGGTGGAGGCACGGGGCGGGGTGCCCTCCACCGCCGCCGGGGCCCTGGCTCCTCTCCTCCACGCCACGCCCCGCCCCGCGGTGGGCAGGCAGGGGCAGGGGAGCCAGGCGCTGGCCTCTCCTCCACGCCACGCCACGCCCCGCGGTGGGCAGGCAGGGGCAGGGGAGCCAGGCGCTGGCCTCAGCCTCCCCAAGCCCAGGGCCTCCGCCTGGCTTACACAGTGCGGGCAGCTCCACTTGCCCTCGGGAGCCTTCTCCAGCTCTGGGTCGAGGCAGACGAGGTGGTAGGCCCTGGGGCAGGTGTCACATAGGATGATCTCCCCTCCCTGCTGGCACACTTCACAGTAGTCCTGGTGGTCCGTCTCGTAGCCATCACCGTCGTCAACTGGGGCGCAGGAAGAGGCAGTTACGGAGGGCCTCGTCCCCACCTCTAGTAGCAGCCATTTCCACCTCCCTAGGCCAGCCTGGCACATAGCAGGTGCTTAATGGATGATGGACGGGTGATGGATGGATGACGGATGTGTGGGAGGATGAATGATTGAGTGATGGGATGGATGAATAGACGGGTGGGTGGGTAGGTGACGGATATAAGATGGATGAATGGTGATGGTGGGTAGAGGATGGATGGATGGATGAATGGATGGGTCATTGGGTGGACGGATGGGTGGATGGATGTATGGATGGGTCGTTGACTGGATGGATAATGGGTGGATGGATGGATGGATGGATGGGTTGTTGGGTGGATGATGGATAATGAATAGATGGAGGACTGGATGGATGGTGGTGGGTGGATGCATGGATACAAGGGTATATGGATAACTGAGTGATGGATGGACGCATGAGTGGATGGGTAATGGGGTGATGGGTGGACGGATGGGTGGATGGATGTATGGATGGACACATGAGTGGATGGGTAATGGGGTGATGGATGGATGGGTGGATGGATGGATGGATGGGTCATTGGGTGGATAATGGGTGGACAGATGGATGGGCGGATGAGTGGATGGATGGACACACGAGTGGATGGATAATGGATGGTAGATGGATGGATGGATGGGTGGATGGATGGATGGGTCGTTGACTGGATGGATAATGGATGGATGGGTCACTGGATGGATAAATGGATGGATGGACACATGAGTGGATGGAAAATGGGGTGATGGATGGATAATGGATGGTGGATGGATAAATGATGGATGGATGGGTGGGTCATTGACTGGATGGATAATGGGTGGACGGATGGATGGATGGATGGGTGGATGGGTGGATGGGTGGATGGATGGATGGATAATGGGTGAACGGATGGACGGATGGGTGGATGGATGGACACATGAGTGGATGGATAATGGATGGTGGATGGATGGATGGGTGGATGGATGGATGGGTGGGTCGTTGACTGGATGGATAATGGATGGATGGGTCATTGGGTGGATAATGGGTGGACGGATGGATGGACGGATGGGCAGATAGGGTGCACAAATGAAGGGGGAACGATTGTGACAGTAAAAGGGTAGCGATGGATAGAAAGGAAGGGGTAGGGGTGAGTAGATGGAGAAATGAATGGAAGGAAACAATGAAGCGGGTGGGTAGAGGGGGGTGCACGAGCAGAAGGCGGGTGAGGGTAAAAAGCGCTTCCTTCCAGCCGCCACCTGCCAGGGAGTGCCCGGGGCGGCGCACACCACGGGTTCTCCTGCGGCAGAGACCAGGCCAGGTGAGGGGCAGCACGGGGAGCAAGAGAGACCCAGGCCTGAGGCTGCCCTCCCCCTGCGTCCCCAGGGGCCTCTGGACCCTCCACGCCCTCCCGGCAGTCCTACTCCTCTTCTTCTTGCGCCTCCTCTTGCTCTTCTTGCCCAGGGCTGCAGAGCACTCGGAGCGCACGGAGGAGCTGTGGATGCTGGCGCTGTCGAAGTCCGACTCCTCCCGCTCCTCCTCCTCACTCTGCGGGGCAAGGGGGGGCACCTGAGCCCGAGGCCTGCTCCAGGGGCTCAGCCCCGGGCCTTTGCTGGCCTGGGCAGAGAGGAGGCCCGGGAAACAGTGCTTCCTGTGGGTTATCTCAGCCCAGACCCTGGCCCCGGAACCTCACGCCACAGCCCAGCCCACCCAGCCAGCCTCACGTCCCACCACCCTCCCGGGCTCTCCCACCCCTCCATCCAGCCAAACTCCTACACACCCCTCAAGGCATGGCTAAGGACATCTCCCCCAAGAAGCCCTCCTAGATCTCTCCTAAGGGGACCCCCAGCGCCGTTCACGCCAGGGCCACCGCCTGCTGGTGCACCGCTGCCTCCCTCCCTCAGGAGCATGCCTGCTGTGGCCGGGCAGAGGACCTGGCACTGAGGAGGTGCTCAGCGAACTGAGTAAGAACCGAGCTGGGCCCACAGCCCCAGGCACAGCCACTCCTGCTCCTCGCTCCCTCCAGAGTAGCTCGCTCCAGCCCTGGTCCTGGCCGCTACATGGGTGACAGCAGGCTTAGGCTGCTGGGACATGGGCTTAGGGTCTGAGGCTGGGGCCAGAGCTGGCTCTGGAGTGGAGGGTGGTCCTGCCTCCACATCCACTCCTGAACCCCTGCCTGGTGGCCAGGTCCCATCAGGCTGCAGAAGAGCCAGCAGGTTGCCCAGCAGTGGGCAGCAGGAGCCAACCGAGCTCCCAGATCAGCAGGACAGACCGGAGACAGCTCCCTGCCCGGAGTCCAAGCTAGAGGGGCCTTTGGAAGATCTAGTCTAGGTACAAGTGCTTTGGCACAGTAGGTAAAGCCGCCGCCTGCAGTGCCGGCATCTCATGTGGGCACCAGTTCTAGTCCCAGCTGCTCCACTTCTGATCCAGCTCTCTGCTGTGGCCTGGGACAGCAGTGGAAGAGGCCCAAGTCCTTGGGCCCTGCACCCGCGTGAGAGACCCAGAGGAAGCTCCTGGCTCCTGGCTTCGGGTCGGCCCAGCTCATCTGGGGAGTGACCCAGTGGATGGAAGACCCTCCCCCTTCTCTGCTTCTCTGTCACTCTGCCTTTCAACTAAATAAATCTTTTTAAAAAATGAATCTACTAAAAAAAAATGAAGGATCTAGTGAGAACCCCTCAGCAGACAGACGGGGAACGGGCCCAGCAGACCGCAGGCAGGCGGAGCGGCAGGGGCAGCGTGGGCGCAGGCCCGGCGACCCAGTCCCGGCGGCCCGGCACAGGCACTCACCGAGGAGCCCTTCTTCCTCTTGGTGCCCATCCCTCCGAAGCGGAACTTGAGCCCGGCCGCCTTCTTGCCCTTGCCCTTCTTCTTGGCGTCTTTGGAGCTCTTGATCTTCTTCCTCACCCCGGGCCCTGAAAACGGGAGGCGGGCAGCCCTTGCTCCACGGCACCCCACAAGTCGGGAGAACGGACCTGCTCTGAGGCCGGCTCTCTGCGCACTGCACGCCCCCGGCCACTCCCAGGAAGGAACCGGCGGCACCCATGGAGCTCCCACCACCCTCATGGCCTGCAGGGCCACTGAGGGCACAGCTGCCCCCCTGTGGCACAAGCCTGGGCCCCTGGAGGGATGTCCTGGGGCTGAAAGCCCTCTGCACAGCAGGCAGCCTCCCCAGGCTGGGACAGCGCTGGCACCACCCACGGCTGTCCCCAAGGCTGCCTGTGTGGAGCTGGCCTCAGAGCAATGAGCCACAGGGGGAGTGGCGACCCCCGCAGCCCAGCCTGCTGCCAGGGAAGGTGGGGGCCGGAACGCGGCTCACACCCTGCAGAGGGAGCCTCGCCCCAGGCCCTCCTCCAGCCGCACCGCACGCAGGGACGCGGAGCCGAGAACCCAGCTGCACCCTGGGAAATGTGTTTCAATTGTCCAAGCTCTGAGCAGGCAGCTCAGGGAACTGAAAGCCCAGAGCCCAAGAGCAGAGAAATCAAGGCAGCTGGGCAGGTGCGCCAGGCAGGGAGGCCCTCCTGCGGCCCCAGGCACCGGGAGAGGCCGGGCCAAGGGGCAGGCTCTGAGGGGTGACACCTGGCCACCAGGTGCCCTCAGAGATCTGGCATCCCAGCATCGATCCAGGAGCCAACACCCCTTGGGGCCAAAACACAAGGTCGCCAGAGCCCTCCCTCGGCTCCCATCAAGCCCACGTCAGAGCATCCAGAAGGGTGAGGTGCTGCCGACCCCACCACGGGGGCCCTGGGAAGGGCGGGGGGGGGGGTGTCGGGGGGCGGGGCGTGCGTGCCTCCAACCCCCACGAAGCCAAAACTTCCAGCCAGGGACCTTTCTTCCCAGGGCATTCCAGTGCCAGAGGCCCTGCCTCCCCCGACGCCCACCACTGAGCCCCACTCCTGGACTCCCTGGGAAGCCGGCCCGACCACACGGCTCCCTGCTCCAAACTCCTTTGCATTTCCAGGACGCTAAAGCCCCAGGGACAGGGACTTGCGCGCCCAGGGCCCTGGAGAAGGACCCTGCACAGAGCAGGTGCTCAGGCGAGAGTGGCCGGTCCTAGCCCTGGGCTCCTCGGACTCCAAAGCCTGCAACTCCCAACAGCCAGGGTGTCCCCTGCCGCCTCCCAGGCCCTCTGCTGGGCAGGCAGAGACTTCCCAGCGTTCCGCCCGCATCAGCCCAGCCCAAAAGACAGGCAGAGCAGAAGTCGCGGTGCCACGCCGCTGCCGAGAAAGGGCTGCCGGCTCAAGGTCACGGAGAGCACCGGGTCCCCCGCGAGGCGGCCCCGGCTGCCCTGGGTCTCCCTGGGGAGGAGCTCTGCGAGGCAGGGCTCAGGGCCTTACCCTTGCCCTCCTTGGTCTTGGCCTTGCGGATGGGCACAGGCTGGGGCACCTGCTGGGGGCTGATGGCCAGCGGAGGGGCGATGGTGACCGTCTCCACAGCCGCAGCCACTGCCGCTGCCGCCGCCGCCGCCGAGCTGCCCTTGAAGGGGTTGTTGGCGCTGAACTCCCGCCACTTGGCGCCCAGGACGGTCATCATCTTGGACATGGGGATCTTGGGGTTCTTCTTGGCGATGAGCGGCCTGTGGCGGTGGGCAGGAGGGTGAGGGCAGGGCCCAGCCCTTCTCCCACACCTGCGTGCTCGGGCTCTGGCACTGGCCTCGGGTGCCCCATCCCATCCCAGCCAGCCTGAGGGACGCCACACTGACTCAAGGCTCCCGGGGCAGACGGGACCCACCGGCCCCTCCCACCGGCTCTGCCTGTCACCCAGGGGAGGCGCAGACGCCCGGCCCCCTGCCCACCGGAGGAACTGGCTGAAGGCCTTGTAGTTGGTCAGCGTGTGGTAGTCCTCCTCCGAGAACAGGTAGTCCACGTCGTCCAGGCCCCACTCGGCCATCAGCTGCCCCGAGGACTTGGGCTCCTGCAGACACAGGGGCCAGGGGTGAGGGTCCTGCGAGGGGAGGGCTTGTGTCTGCCACACAGTTAGGGCAGAGCTCACCTGCCAGCCCCCGCTGGGGGACCTCCCGCCTGCTCGCAGGGCCAACGCTGAATGCGAGGGCTGGGGGTCCTGTGTGGGCCCAGAACCCACGCTTCCAGCTGCAGGAAGCGGACTTGGACGGCAGGACCGACAGCAGCTTCAGGATGGGAGAGGAAACGCCCCTGGGGAGGGCAGGGCTGAAGGGGAACGAGGCCTCCCCCACGCCCCGGGAGGGGACAGGCCACTGCCAGGCTCCGGTGACAGGAAGGGGCATCTGGCCAGCTGGGGGCGGGGCCCTGAGAAGGCCTCTCAGCCACTGCTTCACCTTCAGGAAGCCGGGAGCCATGTGACGTCACAGGGACACCCACTGAGCCCTCAAGAGGGTCAGCCTGGGGGTCTGCTGACCACAAAGCCCTAAGCTGACCGTGACCGACAGGGAGACACTGGCTAGAGCGCTGCATCCACTCTACTCCTCGCCACATACTGGCGGTGACCACGAGGTGGACAAGCTGGTTTAAGCTCCCTATGGCTCAGTTTTCCTCTCTGGAAAATGGGGAAATGGCCCTGGCGCTCAGAGCAGGGATCCATCGCTGTGGCAGCCACCTGGCACCCAACCCTCTCCCTCACTCCCCCTCACACCCACCTCTTCCCGGTAGCCCCAGCCTCTGGTCCATGAAGCCACTTCCGCCCCTCCTGGGTCAGAGCCCGTGGTCAGAGTGGTCATGTGACGTGGGGCAGTCCAGTCAAGGGGACAGTGGGGTGACCTGGTCTCGCTCCCGCCAGACAGGGCTGAGAGCCCCAAACTGCTCAGCACGCATTCCCAGCCGTGAGCGTGCCGGCCTCAACCCAGAGCTGACCCCACAGAGGAAAGAGAATGATCCGAGGGTCCCACCACCCAGAAGCCCCCAGCCTCTCAACCCTCCCGAACCCCTTTACCACCTAAGCCGCCGGAGCTGGGCTTTCTGCCGTGGCAACAGAGGGCTGCCCGGCGGAACACAGCGTCGCCCTGGGCCCCCAGCCCCTGGGCTGAGAACCAGGCCTGCCCGACCAGCACCGCAGGAGGACAGCAATGCCAGTTCCTGGACAGTCCTGAAAGGTCCCCACGTGGGACCCCTCCTGCGGCTGACCGGTCCCCACGACTCGCACAGCCATTCCTGAAGGCACATGGCCCGGCGTCCCCACGCAGGTGCAGAGCCCAGCGTGCGAGTGGCAGACGCCGCCCCTGGACTGCTCACTGAGGTTCGTCTCACAGCTGTCAGCCCCCCAGTCCCCAGTCACAGCCGACTCTCACACACCCACCCAGTACCCCGACCACTCGGCGCCGCCCTCCACCCACAGGCACCGTGCGAAGGTTTACACAGCCGGCGTCTGCAAGTCCACGGCCGGCCCACACTGAGCCTCTGCCCGTCCCTGCCGAGACCTGGGCTCGGTCCGCACCACTCCCCACGCTGGCAGGAAGGGGCTTCTCCCAGGGTCCCTCGCGTCTGCCCCGTGCTCAGGGGCACCCCGGAGGCTTGCTCAGGAACCAAGCTCCCTGCCCGCCACAAACCCCGCTGTCCAACGCAGCTTGCGGCAGAGACTCCATTTGTGGTCTCACTTTCCAGATTGTTCCAAGCAAGAGGTTCCTGACACTGAACTTGGGCTTGCCCTCACGCCATCACTCTCCCAGGAACAGCTGCACGCGTGTGCAGTTGGGCTGTGGCTCCCGCCACGTCCTCCCAGATCCCCCCGGCGTGACCTCCAATACTCTCTGAGACACCCGACTACAGCACCTCTAATGAAGTGGCCTCCGACATCCGGGGCAAGCACACGCGTGCACACGCGTGCACACACGTGCACACACATGCCACACAGCTCCCGGGAGGGCGTTACCTTCAAGCATCCATCGTCGTTCTCCTCCTCCTCCTCTTCCTTCCGTTTTCGCTTGGCTTTTTTCTCCCTCTTGTCCTTGAGTTTCTTCTTCTTCTTCTTATTAGGGGAGTAGTCGCTGCCCTCACTCTCCGACTTCTCTTCCAGATCCTCCTCGTTCTCCGACAGCTCGTCATGGCTCCCCTGGAAGAGGAGGGGGCGCGGTGAGGGGCCAGCGGCCCCAAGAAGATAAAGTCCTGGTCAATCCATCGACGCCCCCCTGCAGCAACCCGCGGCTCACAGCCCAGCCCTGACACCCAGCCACAGGGCCACCCTGGGGCCAGCACAACTCAAGGTCTCGTGCTCAGAGGCCTCCTTTGCCAGGCAAGCCCAGCTCAGCCTGCTCAGACACCCCTGGAGCGAGCTCAGGTCCTGCTCCACTCACGACCCACTGCCGAGGGATGCTGAGATTAAAAAAAAAAAGATTTATGTATTTGAAAGGCAGAGTTACAAAGAGAGAAAGAAAGAGAGAGGGAGGGAGAGAGAGCTTCCATCTGCTGGTTCACTCCCCAGATGGCTGCGATGAGCAGGGGTGGCCAAGCCAAAGCCAGGAGCCTGGAACTCCATCCGGGTCTCCCACATGGCTGGAGGGGGCCCAGGCGCTCGGGCCATCATCTGCTGCATTGCCAGGCTCACTAGCTGGGAGCTGGATTAGAAGTGGAGCAGCCGAGACTCGAACTGGCATCCAGACGGAATGCTGGGTGCCACAGGCGGCTTAACCCGCTGCACCACAGCGCCGGCCCCAGCGCTGAGAGTTTACCCAGTGCCACGTGACAGGACGTGAAGCCAGGAGGGCGTGATGCCCAGAGTCGAAAGGCAAAGTGCACAGGAGAACCCTGAGCAGCGGGAGATCCGGCACCGTGTGGCCGCCTGGGCTCCAGCACTGAGCGCTCGGCGATGCAGGCATCGATGCAGTCGCCTTTATCCCGTGAAACCCGTGACTGCCGGGGGCGCACCCCGGTTTACCGGCCTGCGAGCTCTCCAGGAGCCCACTCCCACAGTGGCCACCCTGTCTCCATACCAGACAAGGCGATCAGGCGGCCCTTCAGCTTGGCTTGCTTTAGTGCCCTGGTTCTAAGGCAGAAAGTGGCCCATTTATATGGAGATACGCTGTTTGCAGCCAGGGCCACCCCCTAGAAAGGCAGGGCCCCGGGCCTGTGGGAGAGGCTGGCACCCGGGGCTTGGCATCCTTGTGGTTGCTATTAGCTGTTCTCAAGATGAGCAAAGAGAGGGCTGGGAAGAGATGCAGACAGAACAGAAAAGCAAGCTTAGAAAGAGCAGTGGGGTAGAGGGAGGCACGGGGGGTGCGGGGCAGGGGCCTGGAAGGGGGAGAGAAGAGGAGAATGGGGGGCAGCGAGGGTGGCAGGGTCCCCCCTGGAGAACCTTGGGAGGCCCCTGGTCTGACCTCTGCCCTTCAGGCTATAGCACAGTTGATGACCTGCCTTTTCCCAGGAGAGGCTGCAAACAGCTGGATGAGGGTGGGCAGGGTCCCTGAGACCCAGCTGGGAAGGACCCACCACACACCCAGAGTCCCCGACTCTCCCCGCCAGCCTCCTACCTCACAAACCTCGTAAGCCCATGGCGCCCAGAGTAGCAGGCAGCCGGCAGGCAGCGGCAGGAGCAGAGCCCCCCTGGTAAGCCCATGGTGCCCAGAGTAGCAGGCAGCCGGCAGGCAGCGGCAGGAGCAGGGCCTCCCTGGTTCTCCTGTGTGCCGTTTCCCGGAATATTGACTCAATCATGCAGGGCCCCGGGGCAGCTCCCAGCCCAGACACTGCCTGAGCCTGGCCCAGAACTGGTGGCGATTCAGGGTCCCAGGCCACAGAGCCCAGGCTCTGCCTCAGACCTTTCGGGAGATGGGGGTCAGGCAGGGATGTCCATCTTCCCCAGGGTATCAGAGCTCCGCTCCTGGAGAGGCCTGAGAGACAGGATCTACCCGGCTCTCACCCCAGCAAAGGGACGGATGGGAAGAGGGGCCCACTGTGGCGTTCAGCACCATGGACAGGGGCTGATGGAGGAGGCCGCCCAACGGGCAGACCTGCAAACCTGCCAGGGAGGAGGCTGGAGCAGCCACGGCCGATTCCCACGTGGTCTGTCTGTGGGTCCTAGGGCTCCCCAGAGAGGCACTGCCACTTGTGAGCCTAGGAACTGGGCAAATCAGCTTCCTCCGTGACCCAGGAGATCACGTGGGAAGAGACCTTGAACATTCCGACACCAGAGAAAGCCAAGCACAGAGAAACCGTGCTCAGAGACGGACGCAGCCTGGTGAGGGCCAGGCCTTGGCACCACGCCCTGGGCAGGGAACTCGTCCAAGCCACAGCAGCCCTCTGCCCCCAGCAACGCCAAGGCCACGCCCAGACACGAGGCACCCGTGCTCGGCTCTCAGCCAGTCCATCTCTGCTGGATGCCACAGATACAGCCAGGAAAGTGACCCTGCCCACAAAGCGCAGGAAGTGACCCAGCCTCACCCACAGCGTTCCCCAAAACTGGAACCGACTGGGGCAGATTGCACCGAAGTGCCTGTGGACAGTGGCACAACTGGGACAAGAAGGGGCTGTGGTGGTGACACCTCGGGACCGTGACCCCAGCACCTGATGGGAAGCAGGCAGGGCCTCGTCCCAGGGTGCAGCAGAGGCAGAGGGAGAGGAGGGCGGGGCGAGGGAAACAGGGACGGCGCCTCCGGCAGACTGTGCTGTCTGGCAGGAGCCACGGGTGTGCACAGTGGAAGGGGGCGGGGCCAGGCTGGCAGGAGCGCTGAGTGGGGAATGGGAGGACGGAGATCCTCGGAAGGAACGGGCTACAGCCAGGGCACCGCAGCCTCCCCTCTCCCCCGCAGCGGCCTACCCGGGGCTCAGTCCACTGGGGCAGTCGTGGCTCTCCCTCCTAGGTCTGCCTGCGCTGAGACAAAAGCTCTGATTCCCCAAGGCCCCCAGCCCACATCCCCGTCCTGATCCTCAGCCTTCATCAAGCGGAGCCCACGCCCACGGCACCGGGCGCCCGAGCCCGCCCTCCCCACACGCCCAGCCGAGGGTGGGCAGCAGGACTCTGCAGCCTGCAGCTGCTCCAACACTTCTAGAACGGGGCCTCGCTCTCACTGTGGTTTCCAAATCTCTCCTTGCAGAGAAAGAGGGTGGGGGTGGCGGACGGGGACGCTGCAAACCACTCTGAGGTCGACTCGCGGAGTGACCCACAGGAGGGACCCGTGGGGGCACAGGGTCCCATCGAGAGGCGCCGAGAAGGGAGGAGACCCACAGGCAGGAGCAAAGGAGCTGCCCCAGACCTGAACCTCGTGGAGGGGAGCTGTGGGCCGAGCTCCATTCGCAGGGCGACACCCAGGCCCAGACCAGGAATTCCCGAACAGCCCCTAACAGAGCTCCTGGCCGCCTGGAGCCAGGCACGGAAGCAACCACACGAGCCGCGGCTGTGACAACCGGGACGACAGTCGGGCCTTCGACCTTGGCACTGTCCTTCCCGCTACGGCCACCCTGGGCAGGAATGGGGGGGACGCGCCAGTAGGCGCCGCCGGCAAAGCTGCCATAGACTCGGCCCCCAGGCTGCGTGCGAGGAGGTGGGGGCAGGCAGGAGGGGCCTCTGCTGTGAGGCCCCCAGCCCCACGGAGGGCACAGACCACGGCCCTGGGGACGCGGCGCGGGCAGTCCCCACCGCCCTTCCTCCGTCTCAGCTCCATAGATGTTTCTGGATCCAGGCCTCCGTCTCCGTCTCCCTCTCCCTCCCCCCACCCTCCACACTCAACGCCAATGTCGCATCACCCGAAAAAAGGAGGCACCAGAACTCAGACAGAGAGTCTGGGGTCCTTCAAGATGGAGAGGCGAAAAGAAAGAATGAAACAGGAGCCTTCCATTCACCAGGGTTATAAACAGTTATAATCTGGCGCTGAATAATTGGTTGCTATGGCAACCGCTGCAGTACAGGTGGAGATCATTCCCCCCCTGCACGCGGGGGGCTGACAAGGAGGCTCATCTACATATGCTCAGGTTCTGGCTGCAGCCCGGTCATTATGTAAATCAAGATCCACTCCGAGCTGCCCACGCCCCCAGCTGCTGCCCGGGCCACCTGTCAGAGGGGGAAACCACCCGGCCCCTGTCCTGGGACCCTGAATCTGGCCCTCGGGCTGCCGCAAGCTCGGGACCCCTGGCACCTGACAGCCCGACACGGCCAGGCTCTCAGGGACACAGGGGAGGGGCAGCCACGGGCCCAAGGTCATCTCGGGGCCGCCTGGGTTCCACCGGTCACCTGGAGGCCTCCTGTCCACCACGGCCCTGGATGTCTTTTGAGATCGGGCATCGCTTCTCGGCAGAGAGGAAGGAGGGGATGGACGGAAAGGAGGGAGGGTGGGGAGGAAGGCGGGCGTGGGGGAGAGACCGGGAGGGAGGCAGAGGACAGCAGAGACGCTGGGAATGAAGGAAGCAGGGTCCAGCCGGGGGAGAGCCAGAGAGCACGCCCGAGGCCCTGCGAGGGACAGACAGCCAAGAGCCCGAGACGGAGGAGCCCAGACAAAGGCAAGAACACGTCCGAGAAGGCCTGCGTCGGCCAGAGAAGGCAAGAACACTGAGAACGAGAGAGAGGTGGGACCACAACGCGAGGCCACCGCCCCCACCCCGGTCCCGCCTCTGTCCAGAGACCGCCCGGCAACCAGGCTGCTTCCTGACCGGGGTACGGCCCAGCCCTGCGCCCAAAACGGAGGGAGAGCACAGCCAGGCCTGCCTGGGGGTGTGGCAGGGGGAGGGGCAGACGTGCACCTGCTGTGCCCCCACATCTGCACGTGAGAACTGGGCAGACCCAGCCCGAGCCGAGACCTGAGGCCCAGCTGGCCCCGCCCCTCTCTGCCGCCCACGCAGTCTCCATAGAAGAAGTCGCCAGGACAGAAACACCAAGGAGGCCTGGGCAGGGGGCGCCTGAGCAGGAAGTCCTGTCCTTGTCACCAAGCCCCAGCCCCCAGAGCCCGAGTCTGAGGGTGGCGGCGGCAGCGGCAGCAGAACAAAATTTCAGACTCAACCAAAACACCCGGCACCTGCAAGGCGGGGCCCAGCACGCAGCCTGAGGGGCCAGGGGAGGTATCCGCAGTGGAGGGGGCAGGGAGCTGCAGCAGGGGATTCAAGGACCCCCCTGTGTCAAAGGCACCTGGTTCCATGGGGAGCTTCTAGGCCTGGAGTCCTCACGGCTCCCCTGCCTCCACTTCCCCATCTGGGCAATGGACGCAGGGAGGCTCACCCCCCACCCCGTGCCTCAGAGCATAGTCCCGCGGCAGGCAAAGCAGGCCCCCCGTGCCTGGTCTCCCTGCAGGGACCCCCAAACCCAGGTCTCCACCTGCCACACTGACCCGTGGTGGAGGGTGGGGTGTCCTGAGAACAGACATATCAATCCCAGACGCCAGGTTAGACTGAGGACAGAGCTGAGGGGCAGCAAGGCGGCCGGTGGAGGCGGGCTAGGAGCCCAGGGTCCCACCAGAGGAAGAAAGGGCGGTGCCTGGCCGGCGCCGCGGCTCACTTGGCTAATCCTCCACCTGCGGCACTGGCACACCGGGTTCTGGTCCCGGTTGGGGCGCCGGATTCTTTCCCGGTTGCTCCTCTTCCAGGCCAGCTCTCTGCTGTGGCCCGGGAAGGCAGTGGAGGATGGCCCAAGTGCTTGGGCCCTGCACCCGCATGGGAGACCAGGAGGAAGCACCTGGCTCCTGGCTTCGGATCGGCGCAGCGCGCCAGCCGTGGTGGCCATTTTGGGGGTGAACCAACAGAGGGAGGAAGACCTTTCTCTCTGTCTCTCTCTCTCTCACTGTCTAACTCTGCCTGTCAAAAAAAGAAAGGGCAGTGCCTGCACACCCACGCGGGCATGCACAGGCACACATGCACACACACATGCACACACACCTGCTGGGATAGAAGACAGCGGGGGTGGGGCCAGGGCTAGAGAGCACAGCTCTCAGGGCACAGCCCAGACCAAGGGGACTTAAGGGTGCAGACGACGGGGTTGGCGCGAGGCAGGCCCAGGAAGACGCGCAGGGGACAGGCCGGCGAGAAGGACTGACCACCAGCCTCGACGGAGCACGGAGGCAGGACTCACAGAGGTGGTTCCGGCCAGGGCAGGCGGGGCTGACACCTCCCTGCCCCCCACCTCAACAGCAGGCCCTGCCTGGGTGGCCGCTGTGGGGACCGGGGCCCCGCCCCGGCTGACGCCCACACGAGAGGAAGGAATCAGGGCACCCCGAATGCTTCTTTCCCACAGCCACCTCGCACATGAAGGTGCGCTGCTCACCCACATCTGCTCTGCCCCCAAAAATGAGGCAGGCGGGATGGGGACAGAGGACCGAGGCTCAGAGAGGCGTGGGCAGCAGCTCCCGCCCCCCCCAGCCACCACCATCTCCTCCTCCCTGGGGGTCTCCCCACTCCTGCATCCCCTGGAGCCACCAGAGAAACCCACAGAGCCGAGTCACACACGCCTTGTTCCTGTTCACACCACGCCTCTCAGTGACCCCAAGTCACTCAGGGGACAGCGTGAAGTCACTGGGGGCCGCCAGGCGTCTGCCTCGAGAGCACCCAGGAACACCCAGCAGGTGCGGCAGCCTGAGCCGGGGCCTGCTCCTCTGGGTCTTCTCCAGCCCCCCTCCCCTGCTTCCTTGTGCACTGCCTGGGGCTCCCCAGCCGCCTTCCCTGGGCTCTCCCCCAGCAAGGCTGAGTCAGGTGGGTCCCCTTGGGGCGGGCCAGCCAGGGAGGACCAGGCCTGGTCGGTGGCAAGCTGGACACGGCTGTCAGCCCTGGATCCAGATCTCAGCATGGCCACAGCCACGGGCAAGGCCCCCCTGTGCCTGCACTCCCTAGACTGTGAGGTGAGGTGCACAGCCCCACCCAGCCCTGAGTCTGCCTGGAGCCACAGAGCTCCCAAGAGCCGGGCAACTGGCACACGGGGAGGGGTGGGAGGCGGCTATTCCGAGTAGGCGGGGCTTCAGCGCCAGTGGTGCCCGTCGTCCCGGCCCACGGTTCCCGAGGCTGAGCTGCAAGATGCAGCGAGTCCCCGAAGCTCCTGCAGCCTCGGGGGGCAGCGCTCAGCCGGGCACAGCCCACCGGCCCTGGTCACAGCCTCTCCTGCCGGACGGCTCAGAACCAGAGGTGCAGGGGTCGCACGGCTTCCAGGAGAGCCGCCCTGCCCCTCGCGGCCGCCCACTTCTCCCACCTCCGCCCTCTCCATCAGGACGCAGTGAGAGGACACGGGGCAGCCAGGCGGGCAGTGAGCGGCAGCGAGGGCTGGGGCCAGGCAGCCCCCGCGCAGGACAGCCAGGCCAGGAGGGAGGACGCCTGCTGCAGAAACAGGCGCTTGGTTCTGCCAGGGAAGGGCCCCCAGACGCCGCACCCCGCACACTCAGCTCTCGCCGCCTCCCACTTGCAGGCCAGGGAGTCGGGCCCCCCCCCCCGCCCCGGCGGCAGCGACGCGGCCCTCACCTCCTTCTTCTTCCGCTTCCCCTTGGACCTGCTCTCCTTCAGCTTCTTGGATTTCTTCTTCTTGGGGAGGCTCACGGGCTCCACAGGGAAGAAGTCCTCGAAGCCTTCAAGGCCACCATCCTCTTCCTCTGCAAGTCAGAAGGGGGGGTTACTCCTCCGCTTCCCAGGGAGGCCCCCGGCCCAGCGGCACCCAGCCAGGCCTCTGTGCCCCCCCAGACCTGTTGAGGCGGGAGACAAGGCTGTGCCTGCTCACCCCCCCCCCCCGCCTTCCCCTCCCCACAGGGTGGGACCACCACCCCCTGCCCCCTGCAGTAGAGCTCAGAGCCGAACCCTGACAAACCCCCTACGCAGCCTCGTCGATGCGGCTCCCAGGGAGGAGGCTGCCCCCACCCAACCACAAAGCCGCCCCGGCTGGCCCAGGGCGGGGTCACAGCCGGAGGACGGGGCCTGAACGAGGCCCCGTGCTGCACTCCTGAGGCCCGCGGCGCCTGGAAGGCAGCGCATGAACGCAGGACAGCAAGACGCTCAGCTCCTCACCCCGGGGACCGCACGGAGCTGGCCCGCCAAGTGCCGTGAGCAGAGAGGAGACCCTCCCCAGGAGGACGCCAGGGTCCTCCGTGGGTCTGACAGGACCCCCTAGTGGGGAATCAAAGACCACACTACTCCCTCCCTGATCCACTTACACACACACCCCACAGCATATGCACAGATACACACACTGGCACACACCGGCACACACACACGTACATCAGCACAGGTGCACACATAGGCACAAGGACACACACAGGTACACACCCACAGTACACACACAGGTACACACACAGCACGCACACACAGTACACACACAGTACACACACAGGTACACACCCACAGTACACACACAGGCACACACACACAGCGCACACACAGTACACACACACAGTACACACACACAGTACACACACAGGTACACACACACAGTACACACACAGGTACACACACAGGTACACACCCACAGTACACACACACAGTACACACACACAGTACAAACACAGTACACACACAGGTACACATGGATAGATGCACACATAGGCACAAGGACACACACAGGTACACACCCACAGTACACACACAGGCACACACACACAGTACACACAGGTACACACCCACAGTACACACACAGGTACACACACACAGTACACACACAGGTACACACACACAGCACACACACAGGTATACACACACAGTACACACACAGGTACACACACACAGTACACACACAGGTACACACACAGGTACACACCCACAGTACACACACACAGTACACACACAGGTACACACACACAGTACACACACAGGTACACACACACAGTACAAACACAGTACACACACAGGTACACATGGATAGATGCACACATAGGCACAAGGACACACACAGGTACACACCCACAGTACACACACAGGCACACACACACAGTACACACACAGGTACACACACACAGTACACACACAGTACACACACAGGTACACACACACAGCACAGCCAGCACAGAGACACATGCACAGGTACACATGGATAGGTGCATACATAGGCACAAGGACACACACAGGTACACACCCACAGCACACACACAGTACACACCCACAGTACACACACAGGTACACACCCACAGTACACACACAGGTACACACACACAGCACACACACAGGTACACACACACAGTACACACACAGGTACACACCCACAGCACACACACAGTACACACACACACAGCCAGCACAGAGGCACATGCTGAGGTACACAGTGGTACACACGTAGGTGAATACATAGGGACAATTACATGCACAGGCACACACACACGTGCACACACAGTTGTAAACACACACAGCACAGCCAGCACAGAGGCACACACATAGGTATACACTGCACACACACACAGGTACACGTGGATAGATAGGTGCATACACAGGCACAAGGACACACACAGGTACACACTGGTCCACACCAGACCCATCCCCACGACAGGGTGCCGAGTGACCCTGGCTGGGCACCCAGCAGGACAGGAAGTCCTGCAGAGCCCAGCCCCCACGGTCCCAGATCTGAAGCCCCCCACGACTCCGGGACCCCTCACTCATGCCAAGCCTGCCAAGGCCGGGGGGAGTGGCGTGGCTTTGACCCCCACCCTACAGGTGGGGCTCCAGGGATGAACCCTGCTGTGGGGACCTGGGGGTGAGCAAGGGTGGCCAAGCACACAGTGGCCAGCACCAGGCATGGGCCAGCGAGGGGAGGGGGTCTTCTGGGGCCGAGCAAGAAAACGACAAAAGAAACAAAGCACACGGTGGGGGGGGAGGATCCATCAACCCCTGGGGACAAAGGAAGCTCCCAAAAGGGACACCCTCCAGGAGTCCACCAGCACCCTGGCCCCAGTGCCTCTGCAGGCTCATCCCACCCCACACACCCCCGCAACGCCAGGGGTGCCAGGCGCAGGAGCCAACCAGGTCCGCCTGCCTGGGGTGGGGGACACAGCAGGGGGTATGCCCAGAGGCTGAGGACAGCCTCTCGGACCCCCGGGCGGCCCCTAGGTGATGCTCACACGGGAGCAGGCAGTGCATCGCCTGCTGAACCAAGTTCAAAGACGGACACTCCCCCCCCCCCCGCCCCTGCAAGTTCCACTCTACCCGTCATGGTCGCCCCACATGCACAGTGCAGACAAGACAGCGGCCTGCAGGTGCGAGGACCCAGGTGAGCACGCCCTGGACGGGCCCAGCATCTGCCTCCCGCCCTCTACACGGGTCCACCCACTCCGCCTGGCCCCTCTGGCCTAGACTCGCACGGAGGTGGGAGCTGTTCCCATCACCCACCCACCCAATGGGTGCAGCTCAGTCACCCCAGCCCTGGAGGGCACAGGTGGCCAGGGGAAGCCCCTCCCACCCCACAGGGCCAGCGGGCACACACACCATCCCCCCGGGGAAGGTGGGGCTGCACAGCTTTCGGGTCGCCCCACACCCCAGGACGCCCTCCAGGGTGGCCTGCACACCCTGTCCCTCATCCAGTCCCCAGGAGTCCACGGGGCATGGCCAGATGCCAGCTCCCTTCAGGCTCAGAGCGTGTGCAGAGCAAGCACAGAGGTGGAGAGAGGGACTGGAAGCTGCCACCGGGGAGGCGGCTGCCCGTGGGCTGAGCGCCAGCCGTCCAGGAACCACAGAGGGTGCGGGTGGGGGACGGGGCCATGTCGAGGGCACCGCTGCCTCGGTCTGGGTAGGATGACGGGATGCAGGCAGTGCTGCACCCCAAAGTGGAGCTCATGGGGGCCAGCCCTGGAGGCCCTCCCTCGAGACCCCAGCCCGTCACTGGAGCCCCCACGTCGGAGGGGCAGGGACTTTCTGAACCAGTTGAACATATGCATGGGGCCCCACCGATGTCCTGGACCAGAGCAGTCTGGGGCAGGGGGCAGTGTCAGGGCCAGCACGGCCAATGGGGTGCCCGTCCACACCTGCCCCCCACCTCCACTCCCCCGGCACCACGGAGACCGCCTGGGCAGAGCCACCCCCACACCCCGGCAGTGCCCAGCAGCGGTTATGTAACAGGCTCCGGGCTGATGCAATCGTGAGGGGGGCCTCTCCCCGCCTCCCCCCACCCGGCGTCCCCCGCCCCCTCCCAGCAGGACAGTCCCCAGACACAGGAAGTGCAGCCCAGAACCCAGTCCCTGACTGGCCAACTGGCCAGCACAACAGACGAGGGGACGCACAGGTGGCTGCGGGAGGGTCTAGAAGGAAGCCTGTGTTCAAACATCAGGCTGGGGAGGAGGGCAGAGAGAGCCCCCACCACGGCCAGCCCCCCTCCCCACCACGCCCAGCCCACCCTCCACACCATGCCCAGCCCACCCTCCCCCCGCTCCACACCACGCCCAGCCCACCCTCCCCCCCCTCCACACCACGCCCGGCCCACCCTCCCCACCACTGCCCCACACTCCCCACCACGCCCGGCCCCCCCTCCCCCCTCCCACACCACGCCCTGCCCACCCTCCCCACCACGCCCAGCCCCCCCTCCCCCCTCCCCACCACGCCCGGCCCACCCTCCACCCACCGCCCCACACTCCCCACCACGCCGGCCCACCCTCCCCACCACCGCTCCACACTCCCACCACGCCCGGCCCACCCTCCCCCCTCTCCACACCACGCCGCACCCTCCCCCCCTCCACACCACGCCCAGCCCACCCTCCCCCCACACCCGCCCACCCTCCCCACCACCGCCCCACACTCCCTGCCTGCAGCTGCCCCCGGAGCTCCCCCCCAGGAAGGTTCTGGAACTCCCACTCCAGGTGGGGGCCCGCTCCCGCCCACCCCCATCTCTGACAGGCCCTTCCTCTTCCTGAAGACGTCCCAGGCCTGACCGCCTAAGAACCGGCCCTCCCCTCACCCGCCCATCTTCACAGGAGCCCGGCTTTCCTCCTCCAGCTCGGCCCCCGGCCCCTCTTCTGCAATGGGCCCAGGCTTCTTAAAACCAACCTGGGGAGTCACCCGAGCAATGCCACCATCGGCCACTCCCGGGGGGCCCCAGCCCTGGCCCCCATCAGGCAGAGAGCACAGGCTCAGTGGTTCTTCCCCCTCCCCCTGCACTAGGGTGGGGGACCCAAGGCAAGAGTGGCCTTGTCCTGCCAGCGCTGGCCCCTGGCAGCTGCCCACTGCACTCTGGCCCGCCCGACTGAGCCGGGTCCTGCCAGCCCTCCCCCCAGGGCCCGAGTCTCCATCGATCGGAACGGCTATAATTAGGACCCATTAGCCGGTTACCTCCCACCTCCTGAGCTGCCCACTGGCCCCAAGAGCGGGCCTGGGGGTACTGCTGCTGAGACGGGGAGGGGACAGGACAGAGGCTGGAGTGCCCAGGGTGACACTCCCCCGTCCCTGGCTAGGGTGGGTCAGCCGGGGTAACACACCATCACAGCAGGGCGGGGTGCAGGGTGCCGGACTGGGTGCCGTTACCATCCCCACTTACAGATGTGGAAACTGAAGCTCACACATCGCGGTAACTCGCTCACCCCTCAGTCTCACGGCTGGAAGGGGGGCCAGCCAGGTCTGAACCCCGGCAGGCGGCTCTGCCGTGGTGCGCAGCCCCCCCAGCCCCTTCCCCCAGGCATGGGCCCTCCCACCCCGGCGCCTCGTGCCAAGCTTGGGACTGCACTCTGGGGTCACTGAGAGTCCATGGTCTGGAAGGTGGCAGGGCCCCTCGGAGGCTCCAGGTGGGTCCTCACACACACTCTGGGCTGTGCCCGGCTCGGGCCCCAGCACGGCCCCACCTGCTTCCTCTGGGGACCCGAGGGAAAGAAATGGGGAGAAATTAGGGCATCTGAGTCTCCACGATCTAAGTAAGGATCCTGCAGCCGAGATGAGGGCACCACCGCCAGGGTCTAAAAGGCTCAGCTCCCACTGTCCCCTCCAGGGCAGGGGAGGGGGCCCCTCTGGCTCTCTCCCCCAGCCCCACCCGCTGGCCAGCCAGCCCAGCACCAAGCAGGAAAGGCGGCCCCCTGGTGGTCAGGAGCAGTACTGGAGGATGGCTCCCCCTGGCTCTTCCCTGCTTCTCCATCTGTGAAATGGGGCTAACGCCATAGCCTTCCACGGGCGATGGTGCCAAAGAGAAATTGTGAGCGACAAGTGCAGCGGATGCGCTGTGCCAGCCCAGCAATGGCAAGCAGGGCCCGGGGAAGCCCAGGGGGTCAGAGGGTGGGAGGTGATGGGGGAGGGGGAGGCTATGCCTGGTTTGGGCACTGTAGGCCCAGGGCTGTCAGGGCCGTGCCAGGCTGGCCGAAGATGAGGCCAGGCTACAGTCCCCGTCAGTCTAGGACTTCTGGGCCGCTAAGGGTGGCCGTGCTCCCCCCTAAGAGACATTCATCATTTATTTACGACACTTAACAAAACCCAGACATCACCTCATTGGCGTCTCATCAAAAGAAAGCATCGGTCCCGGGCGCGGAGTGGGGAGGAGAGGGGAGGGGGGGGAGGCTTTTCCCCAGGTGACCAGGATCTGTGGGGACAGTGCGCAGGGGGCCCAGGACAGGCTGGGGAGAGGCCCCCGAGCCGGCCTGGGGCATGGATGGGGAAGAAGGGGAGACAGGCAAGGAGCGGGGGGGCCGGGGGGGGGGGGCAGGGAAACGCAGGAAGAAAGGGCCAGAGCCGGCCGGCCGGCAGACATGCAGACCAGGAGGACCGAGCAAGAGGAAGGAGAAAATGCCAGAGCCGCCAAGGTAGGGCGACGGTGCTCCCTGCAAACGCCCCAGAGCCGCCGAGGTAGGGCGACGGTGCTCCCTGCAAACGCCCCAGAGCCGCCGAGGTAGGGCGACGGTGCTCCCTGCAAACGCCCCAAGGTCAGACCCCGGGCCCTGTGCTCAGCTCCTGGCTCAGAGGCGGCACTCGAGAGACCTGTGTTGGGAGGGAGATGGATGGACGGAGGGACAAACAGATGGTGGATAAAGACAGTGGATAGGTGGACTTAAGGTGAATGATGGCGACGGTATGAGGGGATGGGTGAATGACAGGTGAATGGAGAGAATGACGGACAGACAGATGGACAAACGGCAGGTGAATGGGTGGATGGTGGACAGATGGGTGGATGATGGCATGGGTGATGTTAGTTGCTTGGTTTTAGGGGTAGACAGGTAGATGTCCAGGTGGGCAGCATAAAGAATGGACAGATGATTGAATCAAGGAGGAAAGGAGACATGGATCTTGTTTCCTGGGAGGACAGAGGCCAGGTGCCCAGCACACTGCCCAGTGGCTTGGCTAGCGGGCTGCTGCTTCTCACAAAGCTGATCAAGGAGCGTTAACTACAATCAGGAGTTAGTGTCCCCCTGGGACGCCCCAGTGCACACTTCCCATAGGGGGTAAGTCACGAAAGCACAGGCTGGGAGTCATGCCTGTCACTCTGTGCTGGCCCCTGCATCCGAGAAGGCCCAAGGGCTACACAGCTAGGCCTAGTCCTGGGACCGGGGAGTGATCACCCTTCACGTGTGCCTGGGGCCAGAGTGGCCACCCCGCCCTGCCAGGGAAGCCTGGGCTCACCGGCCTTGGCCGCGATTGGACTAGAACGGAGAGCCGGCTGGCCCAGCAGGAGCCGCATCTTCTGCCAGGCCCCTCCCCTGCCTCCCTCCAGCCCCACCGGACTTCCCGCTCCCCTGAGCTTACTGGACAAAGGTGCAAGTCCTGGAAGCATTTCCTTAGGGAAGGCAGACAGCTGCCCCTCGGAGGGTGCCAATTACGCCAGCCACAGCTAACTGGGCACCCATTATGTGCTGGGCACTGTGACCTAAATGTTCCACGTGCACCCTCTCACCAGTCTCACAATAACCCTCTATGAGGTAGCCAGTGCAATGTCCCCATTCTACAACCGGGGACACTGAGGCACAGGGGCTAAGAAGCCTGCCCAAGGCCACTCGGCGAACAAGGGCAGAGCTGGGAATCGAGTCCTCACTCTGAGCAGGCTCCAGAGCTGGCGGCTGCCAGGCCCTGCGCTGGAACCAGGTGGGCACCCAGCCCGCGTCCTGCTCAGAGCGGTGGGCACCCAGCCCGCGTCCTGCTCGGAGCAGGCTCAGCCCCTTCCCAGGTGGGAACCCAGAAAGTCACCAGGCGAGCCGGGACAGCAGGAGCAGGAGGGGCAGACGAAGCAGAGTTGGAAGAACAAAGATCGGCCGAGCCGCGGGGTGTGGGGTTGACATGCCCCACACCGGAGGCCCTGGCACCGTCCCTGGCACCGTCCCTGGCTCCGCTTCCTGGCTCCAGCTGCCGGACTAACGCGCACCCCACAAGGCAACGGTGACGGCTCGAGTAACTGAGTTTCTGCCACCTTCGTGGGAGACCTGGAAGGAGTCCCCAGCTCCCGATGTCGGCCCCTGTTCAGCTCTGGCTGTCAGTGGGCACTGAGGAGTGAACCAGTGGGTGGGACACTCGCGCTCTCCTCTCTCCCTCTCTCTCTCTCTCTCTCTCCCCCCCTCAATGTCTCTGTCCATCTTGTTGCCTCTCAAAATAAATAATTGTTTAAAAAAAAAAAAAAAAAACAGTGTGACAGCTCCCCAGAGGTAGCTCCTCCATCCACTGGCTCAGGTGTGCAGGGGCAGCCGCGAAGCCAGGGCCCAGGGCCGGGGGCCAGGCAGCACCCCAGGAGATACAAGGCCTGGGCTGTGCCGTCCTCACATCCAGGGGGCCAGGGATGACCTAGGGGCTAGTCAGCAAGCGGTCAAAGGACTGGCCCTCCGGGGCCCAGACACAGCAGGAGACTGCCGGCGACACTGCAGGTGGCAGTGACTGGCACCAGGCCCAGGCGGCATTACTGAGTCTGGGAGGGACCAGCACTTGACCAGGAGGTCAAGGAGGGCCTCCCTCGGTGGGATTGGAGCTGGGACCTAAATGACCGGAAGGTGGCTGTGAACAGAGGTCACGGCCAGGGCCCAAGGGCAGGGCAGAGCACGAACAGGCCCGTGCGGCTTACGCGGGGGGTATACGGGCGGGCTAGCACCAGGGCTTCTCCACCCACTGGAGCTGGGAGTTGGGGGTGGGGTGGGGTCCAGAATCTGATGTGTATTGACAAGGTGACCCTGGTTCAGAGTGGACAGTGGTCAGGGAGTGACCAGAGCCTGCGAGAACCAGGAGGAGGGGACTGAGGCCTGGCCCAGAGTGTGAAGCGGGGCCGGGAGCTCGGGAGGGCCCCAGAATGGAGCAGCTCATCTCGCTGACGGGGAGGCTGGGACCCCACGGCCAAGGGGTGGGAGCAGGACACCCCCCCACAGGGCTCCGGGGACAACCCCGCCCTGTCCTGCCCCGGAGGGGGAGAATGGGGAAGGGCACCCTCCCTGGCCAGAACAGTCGGTGCCCACTACCCAGGGGCCACCTCCGCCAGCCCCCGCCCCCCAAGCTCCACGCTCTGATGCCACCAGGCAGTGTCAGCGGGGCGAGGGAGCTGCAGCCTCCATCAGAGAGCAGGTGAAGTCCCGGACACGGGCCTGCTGAGGGCACCTGCCAGCTGCCACTGGCCCAGCAGAGCCACAGAGGACTCTCCCAGGACTCTGCGCCTGGCTCAGCGGGAGCGGGGAGCAGCCACAGGTTTCCTGGCCACGCAGGCTGCCGTGTGCCCCTTGGAGGCGTGGGTGATTCCACCCGTCGGAGCTGCAACGTTCATCATTGTTCCAGCAACCTTGCCCCCTGGGGGGGCACCCCACACCCACCTCTACTCCCCCAGCCCCCGGGGGGCTCTCTACCAATTTGGCCTGACTTCCTAAAGGCAAGGTGAGGGCCAAGTCCTGCAGGGGCCTAAGCAGGCCAAGATGAGGGGGCCTGGGTGGACACTGAGGCGTGGGGGAGCCAGGGGCCCGGGCCAGCCGGCGGGGGGGGGGGGACCCCCCCCAAGGAGGAGCCACAAGCAACCCGGGAGCTGCTGTGCCTCTTTGTGCACAACCAGGGCTGGGGTGCCGGCCTTTGCAACATTCTTCCCCTTGGGGAAGACTCTGCTGAGGGGCAGGTGCATGGTTCTGAGAGGCCCGGAAGGGAGGGGGCGTCCCGGAAGGGAGGGGGAAAGGCGGGTTCACAGGGTGAGGCCGGGCCCAGCTGTGCCAGGTGCGGAACGGCCGGGGATGAGCCGGGAGCAGTTGGGTACAGAAGAAGCCTGTCGGGTAACCCCCGGCGCACAGCCCTATGTATGCCGAATTCTGACCGGGGAACAGCAGAGACATGCCAAGGACAGGGGCGGTGGCCCTGGGGCGCCAGGCCGGCAATCAGGGCAGGGTGGGCTTGCAAGGCCACCACCCCGAGCGAGGCAGGGTAGGAGACAGCGGAGGGCGCCAGGGCGCGCCTGGAGGACGCGGGCGGCCCGGCAAAGTCCCAGCACCCCAGCGGCCGCGAGAGACGGGAGCAGAGTCCCAGCCCGCGCGCCCCTGCACCGTGCCCTCGAGGGCCCGGCGGGAAGCCGCCCCAGCCCGGGTGCTCGCCGGGACCCCGAGCCCCAACCCCGTCCTCGCCGCGCTCTGGGCCCCACCCAGCCCGTCCCGGGGCCGACGTGGGCTGGGGGCCAGCTCCCGGCTGCCCGCCGCGAGGCCAGCATCGCGCGGCGGCGGGGCCGGAGCGCTGGGCGCGCCGCGCCAGGAGCGAGCGCGATTCCCGCCCCTTTCAAGGGCACGCGGGCTGACCCCGCCGGCGCCGCGCCCCCTCCCCGCCGGGGCGCCCCGCGCAGGCCGACGCCCGCCGTCCTCTGCCCTCCCGGCCCGCGCCCAGGCGCGGGGGCCCGGACCGCACCCCGCCCTCGGCCGCGCCCCGGCGCTTGCCCGGCCCCGCGCCCTTGGCCGCGCGGCGCCAGCCGGGCGGGAGCGCAGCCCGCAGCCCGGGCGCCCCTCCCGCGCGCCTCGCGCCCCCGCCGCCCCGGCCGCGCCACCCCCGCGCCCCTCACCTGACATCTGCTCTTCGTTCTCCATCTCCCCGGCGAACAGCCGCGGCAGCTCCTCCTCGGTGCCCAGCGGGCCCCGCATGCCCGGCGCGGGGGGGGAGGGGAGGTGGGCGCCCCCCTCCCGCCGGGCGCGGTGCCAGCCTTAACCCGTGCGCTGCCGGACGGGCGCGCGCGGCGGGCGAGGCGGCCTCGGCGAGAAGATGGCGGCCGCCTGCCCCCCCACCCCCCCAAACCGCCACCCCCCGTCCCGAGCCCCCTTCCTCGCGGCCGCCTGCGCCTGCTCCCCGCAAAGCCAGCGCCGCTCCGCCCGCCGCGCCCGCAGCCCGAGTCCCGCAGCCGGCCGAGGGTGGCGGCGGCAGCGCCGGCGGCACGGCGGCGCGGCGGGGGGGCGGCACACATGCCCGGATTGTGACGTCCAGTCTGGTTGCTGTGGCAACCCCATCCCATCGTTCCGGCAGCGCGACTAGTTAACAGCGGAGAACAAGTTAGGGGACTAGTCCTGGGTCTCCGGATGCAGGTGGCGGCTGGGGCGCTCCGGCAGGGGGCGCCGTCGAGGCGCCCGCGCGGGGCCCCGACGGCCGAGTGGCGGCCGGGACTGTGCGGCCCCGGCGCGGTGGGAGGCGGGAGGCGGCGCCCCCGCGCGCCCGCAGCCCTGCTGGCGCCGCCACCACGCGCGCGGGGGCGTTCGGCCCTCGGGTCGGGTCCCCGAGGGCCCGGGGCGGGGTCCGTGCCGGCCAGCAGCCGGCTTGCCCCGCACGGCGCTGTCCGGCGCGGGTCGCGCCCTGCGCCCGGCTCCGGGCTCTGCGCGCTCCTCACCCCTCTGGAAAGAGGATGAGCAGAGCAGGCTCTCGGCGACTGGGGAAGGGATGCCCCCGACGCAGCGGGTCTGATGCCTCCCCAGCGTCGCCCGGACGGGCTCCTCCTCTCGCCCCGCGCCGCGTGTCCTCTCCCGGAGGCCCGTAGGGCCGGCTGTGCCCGGTCCCGACCCAGGCAGACCCCTGGGGGCGGTGCGTTCCGTCGCGAGCGGGAAGGAGGAGGTCAAAGGTGAGGACGGAGGCCGGCCCTCGGGCGCACGGCTGGCATTCTGCATGCGCACCCCGGGCTCAGCTGCAGCCAGCCCTTGTCTCGCAGGGCCGAGGTGTCAGTGGCTGGCGGAGCTGCCAGCTCTGCACCCCAAGGGCCAGCAGAGGGAGGGCGCCCTCGTGCCACGGCTTGTGTGGGGCCGGACTCTCCGGGGAATCCACGGGGGACCTGCGCCCTGTCAGCCCCTGCCACATGGGTGCTGCTGGGGAACTGGAGAGCTGTGCCCACCTGGCTGAGGGCCCCCAGTGCACGACTTCGTGGGGACGTCGCCACAGCCCCGGCCGCCGGAGCCTGAGCCGCCAGCTGCAGCCGGAAGGCAGTGGCCGGTGGCCTGGGGAGGGCGTGAGGACCTGCAGGGCCTTTCCCCCCGGCCGTCCTAGGAGCCCGCAAACCCGATGAAGGCTGCTCTCGGGCACCCCTGGGAGAGCACGGGTCCTTGCACACACACTGGGAATCCACTCCATCTCCCAGGCCATTTCCCTGAGACAGAGAGCTCCCATCTGGTGGTCCACGCCCCCACGTGCCTGCAAAGGCTGAGGCCAGGCCAGGTTGGATGTGGGAGCTGGGAACCCAATCCAGGGCCCTCCCCGGCCCCCACCCGCCCCATGGGTGGCAGGGACCCAAGTACTTGAGCCATCACCTGCTGCCCCCCGGGGGAGCATGAGCGGGAGCAGAGCCGGGGTGTGAACCAGTAACTGCTATCAGGTGCACTTGGCCCATCCCAGATCCCCCACACTGGACGTGAGATGTTGGGTCAGCCCAGAAAGGGGCCTCCTGCACCGGGCAGGGCACAGCCAGCAGAGGCAGGCCAAGAGGCCAGTGCCCACCCCGCCTTGGTCAATGCTGTGTTTCCTGTCTCAGAGCAACTGGCCCAGCGTGCCGCAAGTCCCTGAGCCTTCGCAGGGTCTGGGTCCTGGTAACCATCCAGGAAAAAGCCCCAGGCACCACCATTCCCACCCCTGAAGCACCAGCTCCCCAGAGGCCTGCCCCCGCCTGCCCCCGCCTGCCCCCGCCCAGGCCGCCAGCCCAGGTTCCACTTCCCAAGGTGAGGTGGAGAGCGCCAAGATACCATTCAAGAAAGAACAGCTCCGGCTGCTCCATGTGGCAGCACATTGGAGTCAAGACGCTCCTCACTCGTAACCGCCCCGCCCCCGTGTTCCCGCCACAGGCCGGCAGGTGACACCCGTTTAATGCCCAAAAGCAAAACAGAAATGGGGATGGTAGAAACAAAAGGGTTTGGGGCAAATCTCCAGTCACTGTCAACACACAGCCCTCGGTACCGTAGAACTACCAAACGTGTGTTGCAGAGACGACGGACCAAAGCGCCTGATGTGAAAAGCAATCCCTAAAAAGAGGTGAACATTCAATAAACTGTGCAATCGCGAGAACAAGCCTATCATTAAGGTTACAGTTCCAGGAGACGAGATCCTCATGTTTGCTGATCACAGAGCCCGTAATTACACCTCAGCGACAATTCAAAAATCAAAATATTTTTTAATATATTGGTTCTACGAGCATCAAGGAAACAGTTTCCAAGAACAGTTTTCGTCGCCGTCTCCACTCGCGGCTGCGCGCGCTGTGCAGGCCGGCACCCCGGGGCAGGCTGCGCACTCTCTCCACAGCAGAACCCCACGCGGTGAGGGCCTGGGCTTTGAAGGACGGTGGCGTCCTCGTGCCCACAGAGATCAAAGTCGGCCCTGCTGCCTGCCGCACGGCTCCACAGAGGAAGGGGTCAGCGGTCGCCCCGCGGCACCGACATCTCTGCCGCTCTCGAAGCCCTTTTCCCGAAGTGTGGCCCTTGAAGGCGGCACCCCCTACCCGCATGGGATGTGGGGTAGCAGTGGACCTCTCGTGGCCCTGAACCCGGAAGTGCGGGGAAGCCTCAGGGCAGGGTACCCGGTGCTTGGCCCCCCGCTGGCCAGCGTGGCCTTCCTGGCTGTTTCACTGGGCCTGGCACAGCCTGGGTGGGAGTGGACGCCCCAGTCTATCCCACTCTTACAGCTCACTGCAAGGCAGTCCTCCGCCTGCCTCCATCAGCCACCTCCTTGCTGGGCTGGAACCCCCCCCCCCAAAAGAAAAGCAACTCCCCCAGCTCACCCCACCCCCCTACATAGTGCATTCCTGTGATGTGGCCAGCAGGCTCTCCGAGAAGCCCAGGTTCTGTGCAAGGCTCACCCAAGGGGACACGGTCCAGCCCTCGGGCCACTCTTCATAGGTCACCCAAGGGGGCACGGTCCAGCCCTCGGGCCACTCTTCATAGGTCACCCAAGGGGACACGGTCCAGCCCTCGGGCCACTCTTCACAGGTCACCCAAGGGGACACGGTCCAGCCCTCGGGCCACTCTTCATAGGTCACCCAAGGGGACACGGTCCAGCCCTCGGGCCACTCTTCATAGGTCACCCAAAGGGGCACGGTCCAGCCCTCGGGCTACTCTTCACAGGTCACCCAAGGGGGCACGGTCCAGCCCTCGGGCCACTCTTCATAGGTGCCACCAGGTTGTACTTTTCTGTAAGACTTTATTCGAAAGCAGAGTGCCGGGGGAGAGAATCTTCCACCCACTGGTTCACAGCCCCAAATGTCTGCACCGGGCCACAGCCAGGAGACAGGAACTCCACCTGTAGGCATGCAGAAGCCCAAGGACCTGGGCCATCCTCCGTCCACCGGAAGCTGGCTAGGAAGCATAGCAGGGCTCACCCAGCAGTCCTGGATGGGATGTGGGCGTCCCGCCGCGCCAGGACACCGGCCAGCAGCCGCCTCTTCCGATCTACCCCGACTGCCTCTGCCCAGGAAGGGGCGGCACACTGCTCAGCTTTCCACGCTTGACAAGCCCGACGGGCAAGTGAGAAAGCAAGCAGGGCGTGTGTGCCAGCCGCAGGCTCTGACGTCAGGGCGGAGCCTCATCCCGTCCACGGGTCCCTCTCACCTTCCAAGGCATCACGTATCCTCTCAAGGCTGAGACCCAAACGTCCCCAGCCGGGTGCGGCCCAACGCCCACCCTTGGCCAGCTCTGCACTCCTGCGTGCGAGGCACCATCGGCGAGCCGAGTTAGAAACAGTGAGCGTCCACACTTGGCTGTTCCGGACACGGCCTGGGGACACTGCTCAGAAACACTCCCACCCGTGGGCAGTCACGGAGCCCGGCCACAGGGCTCTCTCCAGGAAACCGCACCTCTGGAAATGGCCACATCCTGGCTCCCGGCACCTGACCTCTTACCTCTTTGGCTGCACCCACACACTCGGGGAGAGAGAGGGTGTGGCAATGAGCAAGACCATACCAACTTCCTCCTCTGTGAGTCATGACCCCCCCTTGACAGCCCAGGACCCCCGTCTGCTTCTGTGCCTGGACTGGCTCACACCGGGCAGGTGACAGAGAAGCTGGGCTCAGATGTGTTCCTGGGCGCAGCTGGCGGAATGGCTGTTGACGTAATCGGAGTTCACGCTACTCCGTCCCCATCGGAAAGTCAGCTGTCTGCACTCTCTGGACCGGGATCCGAAGGCGTTCTCTGCGGAGGGTTCAGCATGGCCACCTCCAGCACCCGCCAAGGCAGCACAACGGAGAGGAGAATGTTAGGACGCAAAGACCAAGGCGAACGGGGCACAGCGGCTGACCAAACCAATCTGCTGCCAGACTGACACACGGGTCCTTAAAACAAAAACAAAAGCCTTGCACAAGTCATAGTAGCCACGTGTTAGCCACTTTAATATAAAACGTGATCAAAACTCAAGTACAGGAGTTCAAAAAGGCATAGAAAAATCCATTGAGTTTCAATTTTATTACAAGTTTTTGAATCTGGGACTAGTCAAAGAAAAAACTTAGAGGCTAACTTGAGTCCAGGGTTAGTTTTTTATATCCAAACTAAATTCTACATCAGTGCAACAAACAAGTAAAATCTGCAAACCCAAGTCGCAAGTTCCTAAGTCACCGTGGTAAGGGACACAGCCCAGGTGTCTGATGCCTCAGTTAAGCCGAGAACTCCGTGCAGATTTGCATATAGACAGATATCGCCAGAGGCTTCCACAAACAGAACTGCCAAGCCTCCACGCAGAGCACCCAGTGCAGGCCTGGAACATTAATTCCCAGCTCTGCAACTCAGAGCAAACGGACGGCAGGTCTGGGCACCAGCTATAGCACAGCCAAGACTGGTTTTTAAAACATGA